ATTTAAAATATGCAATGTATAAGGTTGCAATGTGTCGCAACTCTGCATATACAAACAGTTTGAATACCGCAGTATAACAGTTTCCAAACATTTTATTGATACGTTTTGGAAGTCAGCCAAACTTATCTTTATCTAATAATTACTAATTTACGCAATGGAGACACGGATGATGAAAAGAACGGCCTGAAACATAAATTTTCTTATTTGAAATCGAATACACAGGGCAACACTGATTTTGGTGCGGCAAATGTTAAATCTGTTTTTGATAGACTTTTTTGAGCTGATTACGAATCCGTAATTATAAAGATTCCATCACGCACAGATTTTGAGAAAATCGTGGTCAAAGTGTCAAAAAAATCGGTTTTTTTCAATATTTGAGAAGCTCGAGCAAAGAGTAAAAATGTGGTAGAACCTTCCGATTAGGCTTAACTTAAAGCTAGAACCCTAGGCTACTACCCCTGAAAATACCATCCCTGCACCTTTACTTGATGGCCATTTATAGTCATTTGTTGAACAATAAAAAAATGCTGGCGAATTGTGCTATTGAAAAAAAAATGCTGCCAAAATCAGTTTTTTCTGTTCAATAAACGATATAAGTGATCTTAGGGTCAAGACGAAGAGATGGTATTTTTAGGGATTGTAGTGGAAAGTTCAAGCCTTAATTTAAGCTTAAGTGGAAAGTTCTATCACCTTTTGTTTAATTGCGGCAGGGACTCAAACTTCGCCAAAAGTCAAATTTTACTGCTCAATAAATGACTATAAGTGACCATAAATTCAATGTGCAGGAATGGTATTTTCAAGGATAGTAGTCGAGGGTTCTTGCTTTAATCGAAGCCTAAGTGGAAGGTTATATCACCTTTTTACCTTCCTTTTATTAGCTCGGGATGTAACTATGTAATATTGATGCGCCTAAAAGATGCAGCGATTTCTATTCTCAAGTTACATACCTGATGACAGTACGAATGGCAATTATAATAGGGAGGTTTTAGTTTGTTAAACTATAATTTTATTACTCTTTGCTAGAGCTTCTCAAATATTGCAAAAGCCCGATTTTTTGACACTTTGACCTCGATTTTCTCAAAACCAGTACCTGTTGGATCCTTTGTACTTACGGATACGTAACCAGCACAAAAAAGTGTATCATAAATAGCTTTAACATTTGTCGCACCAACATTTTTATTTTTTTTTTCATTTTTGTTGGCCTGTGATATGAAAGGAAGATA